GTGGAAAACCAATTGTATGAGTGAATGCCTTGCTGCTCGCGTTGTCAAGCTCCAGGGATGTGCACAGTGCCTTTGAAAGACCACTCTCCATTTACCTTCAGTGTTTCACACCTTTCAACTCGCATTATAAAAGCATGATTTTGACTCTTCGGCCATGTTTGGAATTACAAAAATTTGACTGCTCAATTTCCAACCTTCAGGTCCGGAATCATCTTTGACCGTGGAAAGGAAAGGATCATCTGTTTTAATCGCCTCCTCAGATTTCCAAGCGAGTGCCCTTAAATCAAACTGTATGCAGACAGTGTGCTCGATTAATATTCATCTTATATGAGACACTTCATTTGCATGAACACACTTTCTGTCTCATAAAAATTACCAGGCCCTCCCTGCTGGTGTGATAAGCATCTGGACATGAAACAGTTTAAAATCGGAGACATGGTACTTAACCCGGCAACACAATCCCACTTCATTACATAGTGTTACGTGGGAGGGCATCAAGCAGGCGTGACGAGTTATATCATACTTAGTGTGCCCTCATCAGATAACACCGAGGATCAAGTTTCACTTTGTTGCAGCAGCATTGTGTGGGACACCTCTGGATTAATGAAAATCATCTTTGGTTTCCTCGGGTCAGGAAGTGACAGATGGAGAAATGCCCTCAGGTGCTGATGTGCATCAGTGTGATGGCTATCGCACCGCTCGCATTAGCATCACAGAGACGAGAGAACTGCACGCGAGGAAATCCATATCCATCGCTGCAAAGAGTTTGTGGTTGCAGAGTGAAGATTTACAAAAGACGCCCTTTAGATGAGAATTATATGAATCGGGCCAAAACAGTTGGTCTTTTAATTGATGTGTTGATTCTGAGGAAAATAACAATTATGAAAACATCCCTAGTTGGAGCTTTTTGATTATCAATATTTGCAACTTTTGTCTGATTTGTGATTCTAAATTGAAGGTCTTTGCCAACCAAGTAATTTTGTGACATCACTTTTTGAATTTGTACTCGGCATTTTTTTACAGTTTCTATTTCAGAATATCTATTTAAGGTGTTTGGAATGAATTTATTTAAATATGGGCATTGGTATTTAATCAGCAGCAATGAGCAGGGTGGCTGTGGCTCACGAGGTAGAGCGGGTCGTCCACCAGCCAGCATGTTCAAGTGTTCTTGGGCAAGATGCTGAACCCCATATTGCCCCTGACGGCTGTGCCGGCAGCGTGAGTCATGTGCACACAGAGAAAGTGCTGCATGCAGATGCACTGTGTGAATGGGTGGATGGCAACATTGTACTGGAAAGTGCTTTGTTTAAACACAGACCATTTCTGTTAACACTGAATTCATAGTGGTTTTGCCGATGTGTGTTAAAATACCTTCATTTAAAAAGTATTACATTTCTAAACATACATTTACAGTTGGTCATTTTCAGTATTAGTATTGTCTTTCAACAGTAATAGCCAGTCTGCACAACTAGGATCTATCACATGATATTCTGTCGACACATAATTCAAATTCATGCATTTTTTGTGATTGTCAATAAAGGAGTAAATAAGTGTAAATTGAAATCTAAACAGTGATGGTGTTTTCAGTGAAGGGACAGGGACTCAAACGTAAACTCATTTTAGTGCATTTGAATATGAAAATTGTATGTAAAGGGAATGCAAAACCGTGGGGCTCCTGTATTTTACTCCTGAGAAAGAAAGAAGCCAGACACATTTTTTAAAAAGCTTGATAATTTTGTGAAATGGCATGAAATTGAAGAACTGAATAACAATATTAATGACAGGTTAACCAAATGCCAGGAAAAACCTGTGTGGTATGTTAAAGTGCATTCTTCCGCTTCCTCTCCTGAGAATTGTCTAATTTCAGGTGTTGTATCATCGCCAAAGTCACACAGCATGCTTCATTACAACATAGCACATTTGACTGTCACCCAATATCGTGACACGTGGATAAGCAGGAGTGTGTTATCAATATGAAAACAGCAGGAGTGAAAGTAGTAAATAAGCAAAAGTCAGATGTCACCTTTTGTGGCTTTGAAATCTTGAGAACATCTGCAACACTTTTCCAGCAAGGTGTTTTTGCTATTATCCATATTTTCCTCAAATGAATAATGAACGTGTGGAATTTGCTGAAAAATCTTCAGATTTTCTTTGGCGTCTTAACTCCCACATTCCTAATGAGCCCTTTGGCCCCAGCCTTAATTTTGGATCCAACTTGAATCAAGCTAATAGGTTCCATCTCCCTCAACGCTCTTTGCTTCCCATTCCTCTTTTTTTTCTCCTCCCAGTCACATGCTGCTTCTAGGCACCATATTTCCCCGCCACCAGCCACTGCTTTTACTGTCTGTATCACCCAGGTTTATTTTTTTATTTTTTCGGTTTAGCTACATAGAAAAAAGTCAATTAATTAAAACTGCCAGCTTTCGTCTGGGCCCGTTGGCACAAACGCCATAACTAAAAAAAACAAAAACAACAACATTGCTGATTAGAAAAAGTTGTTCTGCGGGAAACGACGGGGCAGTAATGAAGAAGTCTCCTTGATGTGGCTGAGAACAGACGCTGCCGTCGCTGCTAGGCCTGCTAAATGTTGGCCAGCTTATCTAAGGGAGTTATCCTAAATCCCCCTCAGAACAAGTACCCTTGAAACGTCAGCACCATAATGTATCATAAGGCTCCTTCTGGAATACAAGACGAGTTGGCAACACTGGACTACCACTCTGTCTTTCCTTTTTTTTCTCTTCCTCTTCTGTTTTTTTCTTCTCCTTCCTTGTTTTTTCACTGAACTGGGTCCAAGCCCTTCTCATAAATATGTATTTTATGATGTGTTTTTTTGGCGGTTGATAGCAGTTCCTGTACCACATGTTTTTTGAGAGCAAATTAACAACTGTGATAGCGAAGTGTTTTTCATTTTATGTGATAATTTCTAAGTAACACCTGTGCAAGTAGTTGCCGCTTTATCGGCTCTGCGGTGAGATATGGCACGTGCGTATACGTGCGCACAGGGAGCTGCAAATCTTTATTGTCTCACCAGCTTCTGTCTCCTGCTACTTTTTCGGGTCCTGAAATGGCAAATAAAGACATACGCCAACAATCACACCACTGAAGTCACTCATATATTTCATGTCTGACGTACACTTTCCATTTTTTGTTGTGCCTGTGACTCATTTTCATTCTGTGTAGCCCTGCTTCCAATTTAAAAAATGTCCCACTGCATAAACCTCAAGTCCAATTTTCTTCCTTAGACATTGTATTTGAGTGCGATTATTTGGGGAATAATGTATTTTATTTTATTTTTTTTTCAAGGGTCTCTTGGCATCTGATTTGATGTCACATGTAGTTTAGCTCTCCAGCAGCTGTAAGAGCGTTTTATTAAAAGTGTTATTGACTCACAAGGAGTCACATGTGCTACTATTTTGAAGTCTTAAACAGCCTGTCATCATATATACATGTACACAAGGAATAAAGTCAACAGTACAGGAGATGTGCTTCACGATGAGTTGTTCAAGCTCCGGGTTTGAACCTCGCTGATGAGGACGCTGACCTTTCACTTCCTGACATTACCCAAAATCGTCTGATTACGCAGAGACGGATCGCCTCACTGACCTTCTCTTAAACCCATTAATATCTCCTCAAAAATAATCTGATTACTCTAATCTGGGATTTTGGAATTGGGATTAAGAGCTAGATTAAGATATGGGAAGCGTCCCCACTCCCAAAACATGCACTGACACAGGAAGAATAGCTCCACACAGGGATGCATGGGTGTTTTTGAAACTGTGGTGCTTGAGATTTTGATTCCAATCAGCTTCACAAATTAGTGGGACATTTTGTAACCAGGTTTTCTGGCATCCCACAATGGAATTAACTCGGTACGGACTTTGGAACGACTAATACACAAGTATAATGGTGCAGAGATGGATACGTTGCGTGTGTGTTCTCTTTGGCTTGTATCATTTTGCAGAGATTATACTGCAGATCATGGTTGATGGTGGATAATAGGAGGGTTCGGGTGGCGTTTGCGTTAAAGCTGACTTAACCTTAATATCATGATATGGGTTTGATGAGGATGAACTTCGAAAATCTCATCAGAGCATAAATCATGAAATCGTTCCTGTCTCAAACTGTATTTTCCATTTCAACACTCCACTAATATAGAGTTGCAATTTTTCACGCACCATTTTTTGAGTATTTACACATCACAAGTGTTAATTTCACAGCAGCCGTGAGTCGACACCGTGTAAATCACATCCGATGACTGCAGCTTGCTTTATCTTAACTAGAAATAGTTGAGCGACGACATCATTCCGTTTCAGGAGGAGCAGCGGTGACGGGGCGGCGCTGGCTCATCCATCTCTGTATCTGTTTAGCCGTCTCTGTTGACTGGAATGTTTGGAGACGAGCCTCCGGGCACAGTAGTCGTTTCTTAACAGGTGTAAAAACTCAAACTGTGAAGTTGTGGCACATGCCCACAGGAAAGAGAAAACACCGCCGCGTCTCTTATGTCAATTACCGTCGGGCCTCATGAGAAAACACACACGAGGTCTGGACCACATATGTGCGTGCAACAAGATACACTTTGTACAGTCCATACACTATCATAGCAAGTCCGCCAGAGCCCAAAGCATGTGTGCGCTTCATCGCTCACTCCTCGTCTCTCTGTGGGAGTGATTTGTTGGTAGGTGGGGGAGTTAACACTTCGATGTGCATGCAACAATGGAATATACCAAAATACATTTTGTGGTTCACGCGGTCGTATTGTTTAGTTGATCGCACCCGGTTTGAGTTCAGCTGACTGGAGATTGGACAACTTTCACTGTGTCACTTGATGACTACTCGAACCCCACAGCGCCATAAGGACTGTGCATAAGGATGATTAAACCAGGGTGCATCCATCTGTCGTGTCTCTTACTGGAAAAGACGCACTCCTATTATTGATGCGAGAAAGAAAGGAGATTCATCTGCTAAGCTAACATTTATGTCTTTGCATTTCTTTACGGCAGATTTTGGAAAGCATCTGGCGCCCGTGCGACAGGACTCGTGGGAAGAGTGGCGCAGTGGAGGGAGCCGTGCCGTAAAGGAAGCACCCTATCCGGGCTTCTGCCACGAAAAGACTGAGCACTGAACTCAACTGGGAACTTCAGCAGGGGGCGGTAAGAGGAGGAGGAGGCCATGTGGACCGCACGCCTGCTAGTTCTCGCCAGCCTCTTTGCACCAGCCGCTCTGGGTAAGTTTGGCTCATCAGAGCAAGAAGTTTGTGTTTTTGTGGACGTGCAGATGTGGGCGCCAAAAGATACCCTCTTACATTTTGTGACTGGCATGGTTTGAAGCCGTATCACAATTTCATCCTCGTGCTATTTAAGTGCCAGCCTCTGTCAGCCAACCGCGATGAAAGCCTCTGACTTTGTTTGTCTCGTTTCCGCCGTCTAACCTGCTCTCCTAATTAGTAGGTTTTTTTTAACTCCCTGAAACTTTCTTTTTTTTTTTCTAGACTTCTTTGCTTTCTTTGTCTGTTAATTTCTCAGATTTTTCCATCTATTTTTAGATCTGTCCCTCTTTTTCTCCTGGCTCCGTCTCTTGATCTGCTGGCGGTGGGAAATGAACTGAAATGACTTTCAAAGAATCATTAACACTGCTGTGGCTTTGTGGTGTATGTTTAGCATAGTGACAATTACAAAGACTTATTCCATCATTTCATGCATTAGGATCTCAAGATTAATTTGCAAGATCTTCGTTTTGCCACGTCGCTGTGAATGGAAACCTGCCGCAGTTTTGCAGTGTTTCCCTTTGGCCTTCAGTGAATTGTTTCAGAGGCAATTTAAATGAAGTCATTTAAATGTAGATTAAAAGAAGTCAATGGTGGTGGTTGGGTGGTTTGTGTGTGTATGTATAATTGTGTGTGTGGATGAGGGCGGTTGGCCACAATCAAGTCGAGTTTAGATGTAAGGAGTGTTGCTAGTGGAGCAATAGCCCATAAAATGTTAATTTGATATGGCTAAAACCATTAATGGGGGGACTTGAATTTTTTTTTTTTGTGTTGTGATATCTGCGGAACGTAGCGGCGGCCGGGTTCGCCATCTGGTGCTAATGAAAGTGCACTTCCCTGGCTTTGTTAGTGTTGCATTAATGCTCAATAGAAGGAGGTCAGCGGACAGCTATACGCCATGCATCTGTCTTTATACAGCTTTATTGATCGGGGGATGAGGCATTATGAGGCAGCAGATTTAAGTCTAATCCTGCAGAGACTCCTTGTTAAGAAGTCACTTTCTATGTAGGCATACTCAGTGTTTTGCACTTACTTCATAATAACAATAGGAATAAATTGAAATTGTACACATATTATATAGTTTGGGCTACTGGTCATTCTCAATATTTGTGTAGTAACATGTTGACATGTTGGGACCCATCACTGCATTGTTACACCCCCCCCAGCAGAACCATTAAATGTAAATCCAACCTTCATTGTGATCTCAGCTACACACCTGTAGAGTTGGTGTGGTGACGTATAAACACCTCAAACTCATAAAGTACTCAAAACGTAATTTTTATACAAAGTACAATTTATGAAGGGAAGTACTCACTTACATTTGCATGTCCTAGTATTTGCTCTTCCAACAACAATTTCAAAGAACATGTGAGCAAGGTAACAAAGCCTGTGTGTGGTCAGTGCAATCAGTCCTTATTGTTTTAACCTCTTGACCTTGTATTTGACAGCATGTAATCATCCCTTACTTACCCAAGTGAGTCTTCTGTTTATCTCTGAGGGCATTTTCAGCCTTAGATTGCAAACATTACTCTAAAGAAGTGGACACAGTCTTTTAACCAGAATTCGTTTGTGCCCAAACACCATCGGAACAAAACACATCGAGGACGTCCTGGGATTAGAGAGATGCTTATCGATGCTCCGTCGGGTGGACAAACACTAACCGTGGGACGAGCAGCCAATTAGAAAGTTTCATGGGTGGGATGGATGTGAAGTGCTTTAAAGAAGACGGACGTCTGAGAACTGCGGCTGGAATGTGTCCGATGTCCTACACCCTGTGGCAGTTCGTTTATTTAAAGCACACCACTTGTGTTTGTGCATTTTTAGTCCAGTTACTACAAATGTATTGCTCACATTCTTGCTGTACTACTTTTTTTCCGCACATGCTATATGCTTTGGATTGGTGGCTACATTTCCCTATACCTTCCAGGCTGTAACTGATTTTAGTTTATGTCAGTGTGGTATGTAGAAATAAGGCAAAAAATAAAACATGTATTAATCATAAGCGCTGGAAAATGGTCGTTTGCGGTGCATGCATGGTTTGTCATATATGGACTAAAACGTGCAAAAACACCTGCACGAGCCCTTTAAATCATCACCCTGCTTTGTTGCTCCCACTCCAATAATCAATCACTCATCGATCCCAAAGGAACAAGTGACATCAGACCGACAAACCATTTAGTTGCTATGGTTTCTCATGCTACTAATGCCCTGCAGGAATTATGGGTAACAATTTCTGTCCTGTTTGAACACCAGATTAAGTGGTTTACATCTGAAATAAATAATTAGTCAGCTTTATGAAGAAAAAGAAATCACTTAACACCCAGCCCCAATAATATAAGCAGACACGACCAGATGTTGCCAGTGAATTGTTTTGCAGCTGGGAAAGCTTCGCTGGGAATATTCCCCCACAATGTCATTGTGCACGTTTCTCCCTGAGAATGTTGGAAATGTGTACTCCAGGGGATGCTGGCCTACTTTGGGATCTTTGGTCCCTTTTGTCTGCATACAGTCAGGCACAGGCATGCACACACATGCGCACGGTTGAATGGCATCACACACAGGGACTAGCTGTGTTTCTGTTGACACACATGCCAAGCTGAACATGAAATCATCACAACACAGTGTTTGTGCAGTAAAATGCAGCCATTCGCACATACCACTCAGCCGAGAGGCTGCGTCGTGCCCTTTCTCGTCTTTATTTGTATGTCAACGCGCAGCCAACTGTCCGACACTTTACACTTGTCTGGACAAAATGAGAAATATTTCTGGACAAGCATCACAGTAGAGGGATAAAAAAAAAGCTCAGTGATGGAATACAGCTTAAGGAGCGATGGGGATGTGTGGCTGTGCGTGTGTGTGTGTGAGTGTGAGTGTGTGTGTGTGTGTGTTCGTGTGTGTGTGTGTGTGTGTGTTCGTGTGTGTGTGTGTGTTAGTTCTTGGACTTATTATTTTTTGTGTGTGGCTACAAAGTCTTGTGAGATTAATAAAAGGTTCCATCACAGAGGCTGTCACTGGGTCGAAAAATAAGTAAAAGGCACCCATGTCATTGTTTTGGTAACAGTGAATAACAATGGCGGAGCAATGTCCCCAACACTCTGACCAAGTCTGAGCGGCACATTAATCATGCGTCTCTGTGCATGTAAAATGCTCAAGGATGGTTTTCATATTCATTCCACTTAATGCCAGCCCAGAGAATCAGAGACATAGCTGCTATAATGGATGACAGCTCGTGGACCAATCCGAGAGAAGCTAGCGTGAAGTCTGATGCATATTTTTCATGGTCAGATACGAGAGCATACATCAAGCCTGGAAGCAGATATTGTCCTGCCGGGATGGGGGGTAGGTAATGAGGGATGGATGAGACATGGAGGCAGATGTGTGCCAGATGCTTCGGTTCAGCATATGTGTGTGCTCGTAGGTTTGCGTATCTCTCGGAAAAACAATGTCAAGAATATGGCGATTCTGCGGGGGAAAAAAAGAGGCATTGTAAAACAAATAACAGAAGCCTTCCCTGCTGCTTTGTCCGTTCTTTCTCTACATCATCTACCAATGTGCTCACACAGCTGAACTGAATCCAAGCCAACGTGCACCTTACAATCACCGTCCGCTGCTGAGCGTTGAGATATACGCACCAATGTGCTCAGGTTATCAAACCAAACAACAGCATTAAACTTCAGCGTCAGTCACATTGTTCCCGGAGCTGATCCACTTAATTAATCTCCTTGTGCCAGGGCACCGACTCCATCCGCCAAGGCATCCTCGGATTTGCCTAATTTGCTTAATTAATTAAACAAATGATTTATTTGAGCTCATATTTCAAAGCGGGAGAAAGTTCTTTGTAGAGCCTACTGAGGCATGTACTGTTTTGTTGTCGCTGTGAGATGCCTCTTGAAGCATTAAAAATAAGTGGGCATTGGAGTGGGTGGGTGTCAATCATTCGGTTACAGCGGCGTAATATACAGGCAGATGCAGTACTTCAGAGAAGAGTGGATTCCATACGCATTTAAATGTGTCATTAAATTAAGTAAATAACTGTCAGCCATGTTTTATTAAGGGGAAATAAGGGGATGAACACAGTTGCATTATTTCATTCTGGTGGAGGTAAACAGAAAAATATTTATTTAACTGTGGGATTAGTGCTGTACAGCCACAACAAGGAGAAAACAGGCCTTATTTATGAGGTGAGATCTGAGTGGGTGGTGGAAGGTTTAGCGTTGCAGGCATGTACCAAACCCAACTGATTTCCAACTAATAACTAACGGAGGGATGCAGCTCAGGAAGGCTACGGATCCAATAATGTCCCTTTTGTTTTCAGGTGTCAGACTGAATGCAGATTTTACAACAGTGTGTTGATGTACTTACATTTGCAAACTAGAATGGAATCCAATAGAGCGCACACATTTATCAAGATCCATGCATTACACCCTGGAGAATTAGTGGTTAGGACTTGAAAAGAAAAATATTAATTTCCCCATGTTAATTAAAGTAATAATAATAAAAAAATATTTCTCAAAAAATTGAATAGCTTCTTTTTTGTCCTGCACCCTTCCACCAACCAACCAGCAAACTAACGAGGGGGGCGATAAGCAAAAATACAGAATATCTTTCTTCTAGTGAGAGTTGAAACCTGGTCTCGCTCTCCTCTCTCTCTCTCTCTCTCTCCCTCCCTCCCCCTCCCCCTATCTCTTCTCTCCCCTCTTTTCTCTGCTCACCCCAACTGGTCAAGGCAGATGGCCGCCCACACCGAGTCTGGTTCTGCTAAAGGTTTCTTTACGTTATTGACGGAGTTTCTTCTCTCCACAGTCGACGGAGTCCTTGCTCATTGTTGGGTTTCTCTTTCATCTTTAAGTTCTGTGTCAAAGCCCTTGAGATAATGTACATTACGATTTGGCGCTATGCAAATTGAATTGAATGAATCAAATAGAAAATTGCCTTGATGTTCCCACTAGAAGGAAAAATAA